GGCTGTGCAACTCCTGGGTTAGATGGAGGTCCTGCACTCTGTCTAAGAACCTACGTGAGCGTTCTGACCTGGCTAACTGCTCTTCCCAGCAGATGTCCAAGTTGCTAATAAAGAAATTGAACAGTCCGGGCCCAAGGACTGAACCCTGGGGGACTCCACTGCCCACATCCCTCCAGGTCGAATATGACCCATCCACCACCACTGTCTGGGTGTGGCCCCCTAGCCAATTTGTGACCCATCTGACTGTGTCGGCATCGATGCCAGTTTTCTATCCACCTTACAGTCCATTCAACAAGCCTGTACTTCCTCAGCTTGCCTGTGTGAATGCTGTGGGAGACCACATCAAAAACCTTGCTAAAATCAAGGTATGCCACATCCATTGGTCTTCTACACATCATCATAGAAGGCAATCAGTCATCATCTCATCGTAGAGCCAGTCATCTCATCATAGAAGGCAATCAGGTTGGTCAGGCATGATTTGCCCTTGGTGAATCCATGATGACTGTTCCTAATCACATTCTTCTCCTCCAGTTGCTTACAAATGACTTCCTTGAGGATCTGCTCCATGATTTTTCCAGAGACTGAGGTGAAGCTGACTGATCTGTAGCTCCTTGGAGCCTCCTTTTCCCCTTCCTTAAATAAAGGCACTATGTTTGCCCTTTTCCATTCATCCAGCTCCTCTCCTGATAGCCATGAGTTTTCAAAGATAATGGCCAGTGGCTCTGCAATCTAATCAGTCAACTCCCTCCACACCCTCGGATGCATCCCATCTGGCCCCATGGACATGTACATGTCCATCTTTTCTCAATAGTCCCTAACCTGTTCTTTTGCCACTGAGTGCTGCTCACCTTTTCCCCAAACTGTGCTGCCCAGTGTAGTACTCTAGGAGATGACCTTGCCTGTGAAGATTGAGGCAAAAAAGGCATTGAGCACTTCAGCCTTTTTTGCATCCTCTGTCACAAGGTTGCCTCCCCCATTCAGTAAGGGACCCACACTTTCCCTGATCCTCCTCTTGCTACCAGCATACTTGTAGAAACCCTTCTTGTTACCCTTCACATCCCTTTCTAGCTTCAACTCCAATTGCACTTTGGCCTTCCTGACTTCATCCCTGCATGCCTCAGCAATGCTCTTATACTCCTCCCTGGTCATTTGTCCAAGTTTCCACTTCTTATAAGCTTCCTTTTTGTGATTTTACTTTATTCTAGAGTTCCCAACTAAGCCAAGCTTGTGTTCTTCTATACTTGTTAATCTTCCTGCACACTAGGATTGTTTGTTCCTGCGCGCTCATTAAGGATTCTTTAAAGTTCAGACAGCTCTCTTGGACTCCTCCCCTTTGGATTGGTTTCCTAGGGGATCCTACCCATGAGTTTCCTGAACTCAACAATCTCATGGCTACTACTGGCCAAATTGCTGTATACTACTACATTCCCCACCAGTTCATCCCTGTTTGTGAGCAGCAGGTCAAGAAGCGCATGGCCACTCGTTGGCCACTCCAGCACAGGCACTAGCAAGTTGTCCCTAACACTCTCCAAAAACTTCCTGGATTGCCTGCGCACTCCTGTATTGCCCTCCCAGCAGAGGTCAGTATGGTTGAAGTCCCCCATGAGAACCAGGGCCTGAGATTAGGGAAACTTCTGCCAGCTATTTTAAAGAAAGCCTGATCTACCACATCCTTCTGGTCTGCTCTGTAGCAGATACCCAGTACAACATCACCCTGGGTGCTGTCCCCTCTGACCTGAACCCAGAGACTTTTAATAGACTTATCTCCAGCTTCATACTGGAGCTCTGAGCAATCATATGGCTCTTTTACATAAAGCACAATTCCTCCTCTGCTCCCCTGCCTGTCCTTCCTGAACTGTTTGTATCCATCCATGACAGCGTTCTAGTCATGTGAGCTATCCCACCAAGTTTCTATCATTTCAATCTCATCATAGTACTGTGACTGTGCAAAGAATTCCAGTTCTTCCTGCTTGTTTCCCAGGCTCTGTGCATTTGTGTACAGGCACCTGAGGTAAGTGCTTAATCGCCTTGATTTCTCAGGAGGTCTGAGAACACCTCCCCTGCTTCTCCCTCTTGCTTGCTCTTCTTCCAGGTCTTCTGCTTCTCCACTAACCTCTGGTCTCCAATGTTGGTCTCCATCCCCTGGTGAACTTAGTTTTAAAGCCCTCCTCACTCATTTAGCAAAACTGTCTGCAAATATGCTCTTCCCTCTCTTTGTCAGGTGGATCCCATCCCTTCCCATGAATCTTTCTTCTTGCAGCAACATTCAATGGTCAAAGACTGCCTTGAAGGTACTGCCTCCCTATGTTCAAAAGTGTCTTACAAGATGTGTGATCATGGAGTGATCTTAAAGAGGACCATGGAACCATAAGTGATGTGAATTATATCTCCCATAGATGATAGGTTTTTTGATTAAAGAAAGTTTTGTTTTTTCTAAAAACTCATTTTTTTCTGTAGGAAAAAGTCATGCTAGTCAACATTTCTGATTAAAATAAGTAAAATAAAAATATGAACTGAGTACAATATAATGAATAGGACACTGGCCCAGGACAAATCACTTATCCTCTGGTGCCCATGTCTCTTTCAGGTTTTGTTTTTAAGATATTTTGGGACACTTATGGTTTCCTAGTATACATTTGTACAGTACCAAGCTAAGATCTAATCTCCAATTTCTACCATAATAAAAGTAAATAATTATTAGCATGAGTATATTATTCACAGAAGTACATGCATATTGACTATACATCCTATCTATATTCTCAATGATTTTAAAAGCAATAGAGGAGAGTTTCAAATGAAGACTTACTCCAGGGAAAAAGTAAGATACTGACAAATACAAAGATTATAGGCATTATCTATGTCTAATTCTACTGTACACAACAGTGTGATACAAAAGATTTAATTTGGCCTTACACAATACTGAAGGCTCTGAAAAATCATATTCAATAAAAAAATCCTTCTAATTTATGCAATGTATGGCAGAAGTCCACAAAATGATGTGCTAACTGCCCCAACACTAGCATTCTGAGGTTTATGTAGATACCTGTCATGAAGAAGAACAGAAACTATGTCCTCATAGACATTCAGTTTCT